CTCCTTGTGGTGCCCTCTGATTGGATGTCTATGCCACTCTGTGGGAGGAGCTTTGTTCCATCCTTGTACCAGCAGACCTGGGCAGTGGGGTCTGATACCTCACAGTGCAGCACAATGGGGCAGCCTGCTTCAGTGGACCTATTCCTCTCAGACTCTGGAAGAGCTGTGAATCTCACTGGTGGAGCTACGGGTGTTTAAATTCATTTGATAAAAAACAAAGTGAGTGCATTGTCTTGGAAATTACTGATGATATTACAGCATTTATACCAAACTTTGATCCAAACAAATTATTAATAAAGTTAAATGATTTCAGGTGTAAATATTGCTACCTGTACATGTATATTCTAGGACAGGCTGGTCCAATCCAGGTGCTACAGAGCTGTTCTGATCACACCTTTTCTAGTTTTCATAAATGAACCAATTCCAGAAGTTGACAAATTAGTAAAATTAAGACAAAACGGGATGATTTAGTTTGTTAAGAACTGAGATGGAATTAATCCAGCAGAGACACTTGCCCTTCTATACAAGGTTTAGAAACCTCTATTCTACATGATTGTATGTCATAATTTCTCAGCTTTTTCAAGGTTGAATATGATTTTTGAGATGAAAACAATTCACAGTGCTTTAAATAAATTGTATATATTTAATATATAATTACATATTTCATATTGATATTTGTTATATATAAAACCTTAAAGAAGACGTCTAACTGACTGAATTCTCTGATGTTGATGTGTTATTGTTAAGGTGATAGTATTTATCATACATATGTGATGTTAAATTAATTGGTAATTATATTTAAATCACCTTTAACATCCACCATGTATTGTATGACATCATCAACAGCGTCACAGCTGTACAACCCAGAGTGGGCAAGCTCTGCTGATTGGATAATTATTCTCCTTGTGGTGTCCTCTGATTGGATGTCTATGCCACTCTGTGGGAGAAGCTTTGTTCCATCCTTGTACCAGCAGACCTGGGCAGTGGGGTCTGAAACCTCACAGTGCAGCACAATGGGGCAGCCTGCTTCAGTGGACCTATTCCTCTCAGACTCAGGAAGAGCTGTGATCATTGGTGGAGCTACAGGTGTTTTAATTAATTTAAAGAAAGAATGATATTATCACTTTAAATGGTATTGCTGTATTGGAGCACATCACCAGCACCCATTTTTCCATCTCACAACAAAGAGGTAAAGAAATCATTGCAAAATCTAGCTTAGTGTAAACCACTATCTTTGTCCACCCAAAGGCTCACTGTCAACTGGGCTGGATAACATTACTATCCAACTATGTAGAGACCAAATGAAATATACAGTATACTGTATGTTCATTCAGAATGTCAAAATCCCTTCATGATCAATAGAATATCCTTCTCTCAAATAATACTCTATACTTCAACATCCTTTCTCTTTTTTACTCCAGTATATTCCCAATTACTTGTCATTAAAAGCAGCTTTTTCACAGTACAAGTTTTAGCATATTCACTAGATTTACAGTAGATTGCATGAAAGACACACAGCACTAATATAAAATCCAATATTACTAAAAATAAACATAAGTCACCTTTAATGTCCATTTTGAAATAGATGGCATCATTATCTGTTTCACATCTGTATACCCCAGAGTGGTGCAAATCAGCTGATTGGATGACCAGTCTCCTCACGTTGCCCTCTGATTGGATGTCTATGCCACTGTGTGGGAGTTTTACTCCATCTTTGTACCAGCAGACCTGGGCATTGGGGTCTGAGAGCTCGCACTGCAGTGCAATAGGGCAGCCTGCTTCAATGGATTTGATCCTCTCAGCCTCAGGTAGAGCTCTGAATCTCACTGGTGGAGCTACAGGTGTTTTGATTTGTTAGTTTAAGATACCAGCACCTTATACAACTTGTATTTTTTCTGACATGTGTCACTGGATCATAGTTTCATTATCTTCATTTTAACTTTAAGGGTAACAAAGATATCTATTAAGAAAGAGTGAACAAATCACTATCATAAGAGATTTTCTTACAGCGTGATGAAATTCGAATGCCTTGTCTGAGAGATAGCTGTCTATTCTTTTAATTTATCATAAACATTTATACATCTTTATAATTAAGAGCTCATATCCATCATTAAGTTAGTAATCCTGATGGGAATCAAATCATTGCAGTCTGGGTTCAACTCACCTTTAACTTCCACATGAAATCTCATGACATCATCAATGGCATCACAACTATAAACTCCAGAATGGGTGAACTCCGCTGACTGGATCACAAGCCGCCTCATGGTTCCTTCTGATTGTATGTGCAGACCTTCTATTGTGTGTAGTTCTACTCCATCTTTGTACCAGTGAACCATAGCAGTAGGGTCTGAAAGCTCACAGTAAAGCACAAGTGGGCTGCCTGCTTCAACAGTTTTTTTGCAATCCATCTCTGGGAGGGGTAAAAATTTCACCTGTGGAGCTGAAATATCAAAAATATAATTTATTTTCTAACATACATATCTGTGGCAAAACAAATCTGAGATGTTTATACAGTTCATTGTACTCTAGCACTTTTCCTAATTATTTTTTCTCAAGATATTACTTTCCTGTTTCTTTTGCATGTAAAAAAATAAAATGGAATAGTAAGTAAAATAAAATCTTTTTAGTGTGCTATTGGTGTTTTACACACCCACTTCTGGTCTAAAGCCAATGCAGAAAAAACCTACTGTACCTTGAATGTAGAGTGCTGCTGAATCTCTCACGCCATAGGCAATGAAAGTGATCTCAGTCCGGTTGTCAGTGTTCTGAGCACACCTGATGCACAGGGAATGGTGTGTGCGAGACTGATGCATGGAGAACCTTTCACCCTCTTGGATTTGAGTGCCATTCAAAAACCAGGTCCCAACCACACAGGCTGAAAGCTCAATGGAAAACTCTGCATCCTGGCCCTCCATTACTAATGCATCCTGTAGTGGGGTTTGTATTCGAGCCACAGGGACTGTGGGTAGATCATTCATTAGAAACTTCATTAATTACCATATTCGTTCAGCTACTGGAAAATTATGGAAAACATAAATATATTCAGCAGATCTACCCTGTCGTCTGATCTCAGACTTTTCTTCATTCTTCATCTATTGCATGTTTTTTTAATTACACATCTACAACAAATCTATATTGTTTTCTGTATTTTTAGTTGTACTTCATTGCAAGAACATAACATTTACTGTATAAGTGAGATAAGGTTAATCTTTGGGTGTCTTATGGTGTATTTTCCAGTACATGAAAGATAACAAAGAAAAACATTTTACAGCATTTTAGATTCCAGATGCAGGGACACTGCTCATCAGTTTGTCTGCAGGAGTTACCTATAACATATCAGACAAATGTTCTTCAATACTACAGCTATGTAGGAGGTACAGAGGTTTACTTTCATGGAATGTTGGATAGGAATAGTATGCTTAGTGCTACTAAAGGTTTGTAAATAGGGTTAGTCAGTGCTTGTTGCACTTCAAGCTCTGATACTCAGCAAGTCTTTATAAATATTTTTCTACAGATTTCACTTATTAGACCCACAAGTCCAGAGTCAAATTTCATCAAAGGGCTTACCAAGATGGACAGATCCTGGGAACTCCACATGGCCACTCCTACCGTATTTGTTGACGCTGCAAATACGGAATCGATAGTCTGCCTCACAGGGTACACTGTCCCCCAGGATCTCTACTGCAGTGGCTGAATCTGTGGTGAGACACTGCAGCCATTCTGGAGAGCTCAGCTCCTGCCTCTCCAGCACATAGCCAGAGGGGGGGTTCTTGCGCGAGTCATGAGCTGAAACCCAGGAGAGGAGTGCTGCGTTGGCACGCTCTGTATTCATCTGTACACCCACAGGGGAGCTGGGAGGGCTGTGTCGGGCAGCTGAAGGAAGGAAGAACTTGTGTGTATTACGCACAAAACATTCTTTACATATTATATTGAACACTCTTGTTCTATAAATTAAAATACTGAATCATGGTGAAATCAATTTTTTTTCTGGAATTATCAAATACTGATTATGTTCAACAACCTCAATTATCTTCATTTTCTTTTAAATTTAAATCACAGGGACTTTTCATTTGATTTCGATTTTCAGCAGATACACATATTTCACATATATTTCAGGCAGATACAGTACACATTTAGACCAAAAAGTGATATCTGTAGTTATTGTATGTAACTTTAATTTCTGCTATATGAATTACATTGTTTTCTTAAGCACAACTTAATGTGAAGTCATTTGAAGACTAATATTTGTATCTTATTGTGATAAAAACTCCATTTTTCATATCAAACCTCGGTTACAGACAAATAAAAAATAAAAACATCAGTGTTTTTCTTTATTTTTCTGTAACAAATCTGATGGGTTGTTGCTGCCATGCAAATAATTGGACTCATAAACACCCATCAGACCGCCTGCTACTATTGAGAATGAAATTATTATTAATTACTAACCTCTGACCCTAAGTTGTGATGACGTCTTGGATCTCCCAACTAAAAAAGTGACAACTCCAGAATCTTCGGGAGATGCATTAACAAAGACAAGTATGTGAGTTTTGCCAAAAGACTTTATGATGGTCTTGTGGGTTTCTCGGAGCTCTATGCCATCTTTGTACCAGTGAATGTCCATTTCTTCCTCTTCAACCTCTACACAGAATGCAGCATTCTCTTCTTCCAATACATCCACTTTTCGGGGTAGTTTACGTACAATGGTGCCTGTAGAAAGCAAGGAACATTTTGAAGAAAGAATGCAATGGTTGATCTTAAGCTTGAATTGAGTTTTTCACAATAACTAATTTTGGTCTATCTCAGACTGAAAATAATAATATAATATTGTTTAAGTTTAAGGTGACCGATGATCATCTGTTGGATTTTAGTTTGTGACACTTGGCAGAGTAAACACTTCTAGCTTCAAAGCTGAAAGGATGTTTGCTAAGGTCTGGGGGGTCCTTTCAGCAAAAACAATTGAAAACTGTACTTGAGTATACCTAGGTAAGTTGTGGGTTAATGATTTTCAAGCAGCAGTATAGAAATACACAATATAAAATCACATTAAGATCACAGAGACAAGGAAGAAGAGGAAGAAAGAAGAAGCAGGGAACAAGGAGAGGAGAGACAAGATTCAGGAGGAGTTGTAGTTTGTGTCACATGAGAGCCCCTACTTGGTAATCATCCAAACCCAACCTGACTGGAGCTAAGGATCTGAACCTTGCTAGAGAGAGCATACTATTCTGTTTATTTAGGAAACTTGGGTAAAACTGGGTAAAATATACAGTACCTCAATTTGAAATGTCTTTCCTGCTTTGGGTTCACTTTTATGGATAGGGATATAGGCTCCCATTTATTTTGTGGCATCCAGGGTGCAGAGAGAGATTTAACTGCAGGTTGCACTGTATTTAGTTAGAAAGCAGCTTTAATGCGTAGTAGCAATCTGGGGTTTTTCTGGGTGACCTGAATGTTAGGCCTCTGAAATGCCTTGTTTGTAAATACTGTACATAGAGTAACTTCTGTGTTGTATGTTTTGTTGTGTGTGATGAAGCTTGTGTCTTGTCATTGTAATAAATATTCATTTTTTTAAGTGTGCTGGGATTATTACTCATCTTAACAAAGCTTCTCCAGAGAACAAAGAATCCACATGCCTTTAATTATACCAACTACTCACGTATATTCTAAAGAAATTACTTACAAGTTGTGGTTTCTTAATAATTATTTCAAGTATTGACACTTATTGACTAAGTCGGTCAGATAATAATAATAATTGCTTACACTTATATAGCGCTTTTCTGGACACTCCACTCAAAGCACTTTACAGGTAATGGGGACTCCCCTCCACCACCACCAATGTGCAGCATCCACCTGGATGATGCGACGACAGCCATAGTGCGCCAGAATGCTCACCACACATCAGTTATCAGTCGGGAGGAGAGCAGAGTAATGTAGCCAATTCATAGATAGGGATTATTAGGAGGCCATGATTGGTAAAGGCCAATGGGGAAATTTGGCCAGGACACCAGGGTTACACCCCTACTCTTTTCGAGAAACGCCCCGGGAATTTATAATGACCACAGACCTCGGTTTTACGTCTCATCAGAAGGAAGGCGTCTGTTTACAGTATAGTGTCCCCGTCACTATACTGGGGCATTAGGACCCACATGGACCACACGGTGTGCACCCCCTGCTGGCCCCACTAACACCTCTTCCAGCAGCAACCTTAGTTTTTCCCAGGAGGTCTCCCATCCAGGTACTGACCAGGATCACACCTGCTTAGCTTCAGTGGGTTGCCAGTTGTGAGTTGCAGGGCTATATGGCTGCAGATCCCAATTTTTACCATTTTGGTATCCCCCAATTTCTAACAATATAATAAACTTTATTTTATATAGGGCCTTTAAAGGTAGCTTCTCAAAGCGCTTTACAGATTGACAACAACAATAAAAAATACACAAGATATGCAAATTACACAATAAGTGGACATAGAAGATGGAGAAACTGAATACAGTAGGAGAGAGGGGTAAAGAACAGAACCAAATAAGTAAAGAGTTTTCGAAAGAAGAAGTTTTGAGTGTGGATCTGAAGGAGTTAAGAGAAGGCGACTCTCTGATATCCTTGGGGATAGAGTTCCAGAATTGTTACAGTGTTGTTACAGTCCCAGTGCAGGGTTTTCTGATCCGCTCCAGGTTCATTAACAACCTTGGTGATGAAATGCCTGGAGAAGCTGGTGTTGTCACACACCAACTCCTCCATCACAGAGTCCCTGGACCCCTTGCAGTTCACCTACCAGAACAACAGATCAGTGGATGATGCTGTCTTCCTAGCTGTCCATACAGCCTTGGAACACCTGGACACTAAGAACTCATATGTGATAATGCTGTTTGTGGACTACAGTTCAGCATTCAATTCCACCATACCCAGCCAATTGGTGACAAAGCTCAGGGGACTAGGACTGTGCAACTCTGTCTGCAACTGGTTGCTGGACTTCCTAATTGAGAGACCACAGGTGAGGCAGATAGGTGATAAAACATCAACACCACTCACCCTGAGCACTGGCACCCCACAAGGCAGCTGTCTGAATCCAAAGTTGTACTCTATTCACTCATGACTGCACAGCAAGACACAGCAACCACCACATCATTAAATTTGCAGATGACACCACTATTATAGGCCTTATCAGTGATGATGACGAGTCCACTTACTGGGATGAAGTTGTACAGCTGCGGAGGTGGCGTCATAGCACTAACATGGACTTCAAAGTGAATAAAAAAGAGCTAATTGTGGAATTTTTGAGACACAGGCCGCACACTCACAGCCCACTCAGTATTGATGGAATGGAAGTGGAAACAGTCACCAGCTTCAGGATTTTGGGAATTAACATTTCTAATGATCTAACCTGGACAGTGAACATGGACTCTATCTTGAAGTCCAGCCCTATCCAAGTCCTAAACTCGCCAGCTGATCCTGTTTGGCCAGGAACAAATATTAGACCAGTGATATTTAATGGCCCTGACACAGTGCCAATCAGTAACTAGTTCTCTCCTTATAAAACCTTGGCAGTCTTCCAGTCTTTTACTCAAGAGTGCAGTTTAACTGATGTGTTTTCTCACCTTGAGACTTAACCCCCTACTACTGATTCAGAGTTGAAAACCTTTGCCAATTGTAGACTTCTTTTAAAGAGAAATAACAGCTTGCCTACAGCTGATGTTGCTTTTTTTAACAACCTCGTAAGAAGTATAAAACATTTCTCTTGGTCCTGGAGTTGGCTAATCCACTGTTAATCCTCCAGATCCTGCTGCTCTGTTTCATACAATGATACCATTTTTTCTGGATAGTCAGTGTCTTTTTTATTTTATACCTTCCCTTTTTGAAATAATCTGTTAATCATTTTATATGCACCAGTGCATATTCTCCCACTCTTGTGACATACCCATTTGTCAGAACAATTAACATTTTTAAGTATGCAACCTATGCTGTGCCTTACTGCAAGGTTACTATCAATTGCTAGAGCAATGAATATCTCTCCAAAAGCTTGCAGGAGCCCAGCAGGTTTCAGGGGTCATTGTTGTTCAAACTGCAGGTGTCCTTGGTGCCACCAAACTACCAAGACCGAGCAGCACCCGTTCAGTTGTGCATCATCATTTGGGGGGTCTTGGAAAAAGTCAGCTACTGTAATTCAGGCAAGTGTTGAGCTGTTTGGGGGGTTGGGGGTTATTTAATTTTTGAATCACTGGCGATACTAGCATTTCCTCCCACTTGTTCTTTTACCAAAAAATTTAAATATTTAACTAATCACAATATATTCTGTGGAGTAAGGCTAATGATAAAGTCAGATTTGCCTCTCTTTCACCTGTTGTCTGTTGAAGTATAAAATGTCCTTAGAAATGGCTATTCTGCACCATCAGCAGTTATACTGCATTTAAGTAAGACCTCACAAGAGTTGTGTGTGTGCAGCAGTCTTCTTACCTCGGACGGACACCTCAGCAATGCTCCTTCCTCCATCTGCCATCTCACAGAGATAGATGCCATCATCATCAGCACCAACATCACGGATAGTGAGGCGGCGCATTGTTCCCCATTCCTCCATGCCATACTTGGCCCCTGGCTGCAGGCGTCGGTCCTCTAGGTACCAAGTTGTTGGTACTGAGTCCTCAGGCACTTCACATTCTAGCACAGCTAGATCTCTCTCCCACACCTCCAAATCACTGAGAGGCTGCTTGAACCGTACAGGTGGCTCTAACAGTGGGAAAAAAAATAGGTCAAGAAGGAGAATTAAATGAGGATCCCCAAACACCATCCCAAGTTAACCACATTAAGCCTACTGTCACAATTTTTGAAGTATTCAGTACAAAAGAACAGAAGAAACATATTTCCTTGTTTGAATTAAACAGTGTTTGTTTAACTGTGAATTCACAGTTCTATTACTGATTGAAGTCTTTGTTAGCTTTTGCAGTTATGATGCAATTGTCATGGTAAGAAAACAAACTCCCAAACATCTCAAGTCTCATTCTACTTTTTTACTACACATAACTGTTGTATAAAACTACTGTTCTTACTTACGATTTACTTAATATTAGTTTTGAAAGTGTTTCATTCACTTTTTGAGTTGATGGTCACATAATATTTTTTTAATGAAGGGACAAAAGTCAAGGATTAGTTCATGAAGGCAAGCTCTCTAGACAGTATTACAGTCAACCCCCAATCTACAAACCACAAAGACTAAATTTAACCCACACAGTCTTTCCTCAATATACTGTACATTAAACATCAAACGCAACACAAATCACCACAAAATACTACAGAAAAGTGTAGATGTCTTACTTTCCAAGTGAAAGTAGAGAAAGAGAACTTTTAATTGTCATATATAATATTACTTAATAATATTAATTTAATAATCACACTGTCCATGTCCAAAACCCTGATGCAATCCAGCATCTGATTCACCCACTCAAAATGTAGAGCCTCTAACCCCTCTGGCAGCCAGCAACTGCATTAACTAGAAGGGTCTCTATATGAAAACCACAGGGAAATGAAAAGTGGGTCAACTAAATGAAAGATTTAGTAAATTATATGTATAGTAGTTAGATAACGACAGAAATTCCCTAATAAAATCTTTGCTACAAAGGTTTGGAATAGATCAATTAGTATTGCAGTGCAGTGATTAATAACATTTTGTAGGGACAAAAATTGGCAGACTTTTTCATGATGAGAACATTTTTTCTCATCGATGTCTGATAATGAAAACAACATACTGTAGGCAATCCCAAAGTAAAGACATTTAGTTAATTTAGTTAATATCTTTCAGGTTAAAACATATTTAAAGGTAGTACTTTAAATTTCTTTTAAAAGTACCCTGTGCTTGCTGTCCACCACTGAAGTCAAGCACACAGCACCTGTATTGTCCTAAAAATATATTCCATTAAAAAACTTACAATAGCTATAGACTTTCTATAGATATCTTTACATGTTCAATGAGATTCAATGAAATTTTTAATCCTGAATATCAACAGATTGCAAGTAAATACATTTTCTATTTTATATAGAAATACATTTTAAAATACTTTAAAGGAGGTTTGCTCTCAATCTTAGCAATTATATAAGTTTGAAGATGCAAAGATGAAGATGCAACTAAAATATATAATGTATGTATACATTTTTACTTTAAATTTAATTTAAAATTTGTGTTAAAGTGCATAGTAGAAAGTTAATGTGCGGCAATTTTTGGAAAGGAAATGTGGGCCCTGGAGCACAAAATAATGATATCAAGAACAGCTGCAGATTTTAACATCAGTAATTCACTGGCTACATACAACATATGACTTTGGTAATGCAAGAACAGCAAAAGAAACTGTATTAAATAAAGAATGTCACCAAGTGAGGATTAATTTTCCATAAATCTTCATTATACTTTTTCATGACACATTACAGACATTTTAGGCATATTAATGTGGTAGCTTCATCAAAGAAAAAATGTTTGCTACTGATACTCATTTTTGATTTATTAATAATTTTATTGTAAGGGCTATATGGATTATATCGATATAAAATAACCATTTGCATTCAGGAGCATATAGTCAATCCCGGACAGTAAACAATGTGAATGACTGAAAAAGCAAGACTAGATAAGATTATTGACTCAAGTAAATTACAGATGCAGCCATTCAAAATGCGCGGTAAAATCCCATATTGTGCAAAATTATCTGCAGATCAGCGCGTTATACCGCAGTACGTGATTGGCTGGCCAAAATGACCGACAGGCGGCACTCGTGGCGCATTGGTTGTTAGTGAAACAATTGCTTCATTTGATCTCTTTACTGTGCGTGTTAAAATCTGCTTAATATTGAAAATTAATATGGAATTTTACAACTAAAAGTAAATTTTGGTAGCCGAGCACAAAAATAACAGGAGCATAATGTCTCTGAACATCATAAATGATATTAATTTAGGAATATAAACATATTATGTAAGCTGTATATGGCTGGTATTGGTAGTTTAAATAAAAAATACACACCAGTATTCCACTTTCTTCATAAACCTTTTAAGCATCAAAGTCTTTCATTCGGTTACTTACTGTGGTTATTTTGGGAAAGGTTTTACGTGTTCATTTTCACTATATTAAGTTTATATACTTTATAAAAAGTTATAATGTTTTAACCTTTTCTATGAATACTTGTGCTCCTTATCGCAGTAAAAAAAGCATTCTTTTTAGAATTTCATTAATAGGGAATATAATATGGAATTGCATATCTAAAGGAATTAATAATGATATTTAGGGATTTATTTATTTTCATATAGCTGAAATTATTACCGTAGTTCACTTTCTTTGTAAACATCTACATCAATTTGATTCATTCACCCGCAATTACTTGGAAACTTTTTGCCTGCCCCTTTCAGTTATAGTTTAACTTGTCAAGCACCGCGGTGGTATAATGGCTTTGGCATGTGACGTGCATGCTGGAGGAAACATTTTCTTTGAAAAACTAAAAAAGTAAATATTATGGAAACTGTATTGAATTTATGGGTATTTATAAATATTACAACATGTTCGAAGTTAAGTGATTTATTAATAACAACTAATAATTTAAAACTACTTGTATTTTAAAATTGTATTTTCTTCGGGGTGATTTGTCACTGTTTTCACAACCTTCAATTTATTAAATGTCTATTTTCGAGACAGGGTGTTCCAGACCATTGTTTAATTTCTGAAACTCCCAGTGTATTTCCTGTTTTCACACAGATAAGAATAAACTACATATGCAAATCTTTTCACAGGCAGAAAGATGTTCTGTGCTCTTACCACTGTACGCATTGTTACATTTTTAAGCATCAGTTGAAGCATTCTGAAGTCTGTCAAAATCTTAAAAATCTTACCAAATAGTATTGGTGAAACTGTTACTTGTCCTGGATAAAGCAGTTAGAAAATAGGTGGATTTTCACATGTAAAAAATGTTCCAATTTTACTGCAATACGGAAGATATTAATAATAAATGACTTAGACGATTTATAGAGGGGACATTATGAGACTTTTCTTTCCAGCTTGGAATTAACTTTTACCTACTAGTATATTCCATTGCAGCCACTTTATGTAACGCAGCTCCATACTTCTCACAAAGGCTAGGAGTGTTAACACCCCGCTGTGTAATGTTATGTAGAATAGACAGTTCTGCCAGTTCTGGGTGATGGGAAGGAATTTTCAGGAGCATGCACTGTTGTCATTGTTACTGTTTAACATAAGGCAACCAGCAATCAAATGTCCCATTTTTTCTTAACACTTGTTTTTCCATACTGTAGTTTTAAAACTTGAACAAAGACGTGCCACATGCAAACAGCGCGATGTTGTATAGTTTTAAAGCCACTACAGTATAGCTGTATACTGCATCAAAGCTTAACTCATTCAGAGCGCCCAACATAACAAACTCAGAATGTTTCATTGTCTATTGCAACAGTACCGACAGCAATGTGGCTAAAAGGAACGTGTCAAAATATTTCCAAAATAATCACAAATGAACGAGTTAAGGGATTCGATAATAATAGAGAATATACATAACAATAATCCCGAGTTGTTTCATGCTAATCATGCAATCCAACTGAAAAAAGGACACTTAAATTAACACAAAAAGACTTTATATATATAAATCAATTAAAACACTTTTTATGCACGAAAAACAGGTGGGTTTTCTTCCACACGATCAGCTTAGAGTCTTTGTGTAAATTGAAAGTTATTTTTACTTCTTAATTAAAAATTTTAAACACATTTTGCAATGTAATCATTTGTTGCACTTCTTCCACATCTTGTAAATACATTAATTTACAAGAAGTTGTTCAAATATATGTTGAATCTGACTATCAGAAAATAAGTAAAATACAAATTTATAAAGTACACAAAATGAAGGTGAAATATAATTTGAAATGAAGACAGGATACACATTTTCTGTGTCTCTTCCTACTCTCTCTCACCCGCTTTGATTCAGACACAAAATGATTAAAAATGGGGGGGGGGGGTGTTTCATGCCAGTCAGCGCATTATCATCTCGCACCAGAGGGAAGGGAAAAACCTCGAAGTGCTTGTCATTTATTTCACTCTCCATCACTCTGCCCAGTGATACTGTATAACTTTTATATAAACAAGATCTAGTAGCTGGTTCAATTTAAAAAAAAAACTTATTTTGAATGAATCCCAGGTGTGAGTTCATAAAGCCAGAATTACGTACCCCTATATCTGCGACCATCTACTGTAAAGCTTTTAGTGTTTTGTTTGTGTATAATCCAATCGCAGGGGGCAGGGTGTGTGGGGAAACGTTTAGGCTGCAATTGAATTGGGGCTCTGTATTCCTCACACCTGAAACATTGTTTTCACTGAAAGTGTTTTCCTTCCTCTTTAGCTGATCTTTCCAGCCTACGCATGCTTACACAGCTCCCTACGTGAATTCTCATTCTTGACTGAAAGAGCTTTAGAGAACTTTACAACCATTTTTATTTTCAACAAATTGTAAATATGACGTTTACATTGGCGTTTTTGTTAATTTTTAACTTAAGTGTCAGCCATCAAGGAGAGCTCCTCCCTCCCCCACATGGACAGACTGACAAAGCAATTGGAAAGTGTTAACTATCCAGCCATTGCAAAGGATTCAACTGCAGGAGCCACAAATAAATAAAAATAAACTTTTTTTTCTCCTGATGGTAACTGTAACAAATTGTCAAATTTCACATTCTTGCGAAACAATCATTCTCATCCA